CGTTGCCGGAGAAAGGCAATAAGTTTTCTTTTTCTTTTAATTCAAGAAAAACAAAATAAATATAAAATAAACAAAAAATATAAAGAGTTCTTATTTTTTCTATTTCTGAGCATTGTGAAGTGTATGGTCAAATATCGTTCAATAAACGAAATCACTTATCAAGCAAACCCCGAAATAGAACAAGCCTTCGAGAGGTTGAGAAATTTATTTCCGCACACCCTCGGAGGAATACTCAAACGCTAGCTCTAGTTCTAGCGAATCTGAAGAGCCATTCCACATGACTAACGAAACAAGAACCTTGAGGGAGCTCACAGCTCCAAACTTGAATCAGCAACCGCTATGTATTACCTTCGCCACTCTTGATGTGGGTAATACATTTGAGCTCAAATCAGGGCTCATTCATCTACCAATTCCTATTCCCGGTGTATAAAAGTCATCCACCACCAAACAGGTTAACTCGCTAATGCCAGTCAAAATATTTAGAAACACCCAAGACTTTCTTCACCAAATTCTTTCAGGGAAACTATATATATTCCACATGACTAACGAAACAAGAACCTTGAGGGAGCTCACAGCTCCAAACTTGAATCAACAACCGCTATGTATTACATTCACCACTCTTGATGTGGGTAATACATTTGAGCTCAAATCGGGGCTCATTCATCTACTTCGCCACTGATGATGCTAACCACCGGAGAGGGGTGGTTGCAGGTTACCTGCGGTGGTGAGAAGTGGTGGTGGCCGGCAGGGGTGGAGGTGGGAGGTCAGGTGGAGGTATAAAAGCAGTGGGAACAGGGGCTGGGTAGGCGAATTGGGTTTAGGGTGTGGGGACAGGCTAAGTGTAGGTGTTGGGATAGGCTGAGTGTAGGTGTGGGGGTTGGGGTGGAGGCTGAACGGCTCCGATGCTGACGGTTGCGATTTCTTGGCTCGAAAACAATCACAGTGACATGTTTTCCAGTGACAATTCATTAGTGACATTCAAAATTGGTAATGACATATGACAATGACATAAATTTCGTAGTGACATAAAAATTTCTCAATGACATCAAGTTTTTGCAAAAATATGATCTTCTTAGTCATCTTTTTGTCTTTTTATAAAAATGATCACAATTTTTTTGGAAATTGACTTTAGTTAAGTAATATTCAAGGAAAAAGCTCCAAAAAATCAAATTGAAATAAAATAATTGTAAAATGTAAACATATGGTCATGGGAGCATATTCATATTGGTAGACCCATCATACTGCGATATCATGGGATAGACGGTGGTCCTCTTGATGATGCTTTGGCTCTGCCCGATCGATCTGTGCTTGGACCACATCATATCCGTGGCGAGGACCTTCTGGGTCGTAGGTGCATTTATGAATTTTGTTTAATTTTTATTTTATATGTATGTCGTACTGGAATCCATTTTACATTCTTGTACATTATTGTGTGTCAGATGGCTTTTTGCTGACGTCACTCACGCATCATCCGCTGCTGGATTAGGGTATTATCGAGATGCATTAGATGGCATGTGTGATGATCAGGTATACCCTGAATATCATTATGTATAACTACTTTGTTTTACGTTTTAATAAACAATGATGTCATAATATTTTGTATTATAGATGACGTGGATGCCATACAGTGGAGAGATTTTAGGGCATTTACCTCCTGTTGGCTGAGAGCACACTGAGACATGGCGAGTACGAGTGCCCTTGATTTGTTTTGATGTTGTGGAGCATCACTTTCCTGATCGTGTACTACGGCAGTTCGGGCTACAGCAGGTCATTCCCGATCCTGTGATACATCTCTGACTTACACAAGATCGACAGACGAGTGAAGCACACTGAAGATTGGGGGATGCACCATATTCTGTATATCACCATGTGGGATGAGAAAGCAACATATATAGTTGAATATAGTTGACGGGATCCCATCAGTATTCCCCAGAGTCTCTGCAGATTACATGGGATGGTATCACAGCATTACATGAGTGTTCATCTCTCCCAGTTTTCGTCTACCCACCGATCATTACCAGCCTAGCTCAGTCGCTCTTGGTATCACGGTACACAATATATTCACATAAATCACTTTATTCATTCATTCATTCATTCATTCATTCATTCATTCATTCATTCATTCATTCATTCATTCATTCATTCATTCATTCATTTATTCATTTATTTATTTATTTATTCATTTGTTTATCACTAATAACCATGTTTTCATTACGAAAACGGGCTTTGCATAGTATCCGTGATAGAGCGTGCTGTACTTGATGGGGGGCAAGATGTATAGGGATATCATGAGGTATGCTCGGGCATTGCTGCACTGTGTGATGATGTATTGGGCCGAGTAGATCATGGATATGTGGCCACCTCTCAGTATTCCACGACATCTACATCCGCAACAAGGTCTTCCCAGGCACGACGACCTGATAGAGTGGTTCTTCAGCCTCGTAACCAGCGCAGACGCCCCCGATGCCAGGCACAAGCACTACCACATGAGCTTTATAATGACGATCATGTCGAGTTGTGATACTTTGTACTTTACATTATTATTGTGTAAACATGAACTAGTTGATTAATTTATGAAACATTGGATTTATACTCAACTTTATGATTGATTCGTTGTGTCTCGACTATGTTTTGTTTTTTAGCAAGCTATATTCATACGAAGAGCAACTGTCTGATATTTTTGAGTTGACTGTAATGTAATGAGCAGGTTTTTGTGTTTCTTTCCGATTGAATAAGTTGTGTACAGGTTGTTGTGGTTGATTAACGCTGAATAAACTGGGTGTACAAAGACTGAAGACAAAAGCAATGGCGGCTCTTCTATTAAAATACAAGAGCCACCACTCCAAGTGGTGGCTTTTGTACAGCAATAGAAGAGCCGCCACTTGAAGTTGCGGCTTTTGTTAACTGTGGTTAACCCCAGCAGTATTTTGGGAATTATTCTTAACTCGTCAGTATTATAGCTCTAAAACAAATCTAGATGGGTTTTTTACAATAATATTACTAAAATAAAACATATTTACATAAATATGACTATTCATTACTACAATGTGGTGTTGTGGTAACTTAAGCTCAAAACTTGAACATGAATTACTATGATTTCATTACTACTCTAGTCACTAATCATATTTTTGTAAATCGTCTTTATTTTGATCATACTTATGTAATTATTTCTAGATTTATATTCTCAAAATGGGAAAAAAAATTATATTCCCTCTTCTTATTTAACTCTTACCATATTTTAATAAGATACTTCCTATTTTTATATTTTTTATGAGTATAATGAAACATAAATTAATACAAGGTAAAAATAGTTTAATTTATAGTAAAAACGTTAAAATAAAATCATAATTAATAAAACAAAAAAACAAAAAACAAAATATTTGAAAAGATACTATAAAGAGAGACTACAAAGGCTAGCAAAAAAAAAAAACAAAAGATCATTAAAAATAAAAACTTAAAAAAGTATAAACAATATTTCACCTGGTATAAAAATTGTTATTTTTTCTTAAAATGTCACCAAGTAGTTCAAAATATATTTATCTCTAACAACTTTCAAAATCTGAGTCCTAGACGAACTACTAAAAAAACCCATGTAATATTAGCTCTGGCGATTTGTTGTGATCTATTCTATGACGACATCAGTTGCAGTGGAGGGGGCGCCGCCTCCCCCTCCGCCGGTAAAGAAGGTTTGGGATAGGTGTTCTTTTGCTTCGGTAGTGGTGAATTCTGATCCACCATTATCAACGAAGGTCCCTGCTAGGTTTAAGGGCATGCCTTCCATTACATTTCAGAATCTTGCATCGAGGCATAAGAGGTCGCTGGTGGGATATTTCTTTAACGGAAGGCCGCCCATGGTCACTCTTCGAAAAGCGTTTGATATTTCTTCATTAGGCACTTTCTGTGACTTGCAAGGGAAACATTGGTTGTCTAACTATGCTATGGAATGAGGAGGTGGACGTCATAATCGAAAGCTTCTCATGAAAATAGTAGTTGATTTGAACCAAGTTTTATGGAGGCTTACGAGCTTCTATATATAGTTTCCCTGAAAGAAATTGGTGAAGAAAGTCTTGGGTGTTTCTAAATATTTTGACTGGCATTAGCGAGTTACCGTGACTGGTGGTGGATGACTTTTATACACCGGGAATAGGGACCCAAAGCTTTCTTTTGGCGAGGCAGGCTCGCGGTCACCCAACCGATCCGCCATCCTCCCCGTAGGTGCCCGACGGCTCGTGTCACCCAACCTATTGAAGGCCGAGGTCTTACCACGAGGTTGGGCCGGTGCATCTCGGGGCGGAGTGGCAGTATGGGAGTCGGTGTCCATGGCAACAATACCTTCGTCATTGCCGAAGAAGGTGACAACAGGTGTAACACCGTCCCCAGATGTATTTACTTTTATGTGAATATTATATTTTAACCTTATGGAATGGTTAAAGAAATTATGATGTTACGAATTTTTATTAATTCTTTCGCACGAATAGTAAATTCGCACGTGAGGCCCGCCCGGAAGCGGGGGCCGCCCGATACTCCCGGGACCACATAAATTATTCATCTTAGTCTAGATAATAATTATATGGTGGTGGATAATTCATTTGAACCATGGAAAGGTCCAGAGTTGACCGATTGGTCAAGAGAGGCCCAGATACCGGTATTGACGATTTTACCGATAAATGTCCGAAATCGAATTTCGGGGACTTATAAATTAAAGTTGGGGAATGAATATTCATTATAAGGTTTATGTTGGTTAAAGAGCATGTAAAATATTTTATTTGACCCGATAAAATAAAATATAACAAAAACTGTCCGAAAAATACAACTTTCGGGACCGATTGTACACTTCGGGACAAAAGGGGTTGACCTCCCACATGAGTGGGGGCCAACCCACGATTTTGGCCACAAAATGGAGGCTGATTTGTCTCAAACAAGGTCTGAAAACCTTGAGATGATGGGGGAGACCATTTTGACATCCTAAGGACCCCATCCTCACTCATTTGGCAAGAAAGCCAAAAAGAACATCTCACCCCTCTCTCCCTCACCCCCCATCTCGGCCAGCACCCAAGAAAGAAGCAAGAGTAATTTTCCATCCTCCATTCTCCATCTTTGAAGAGAGCTCAAGCTTAAGGAGTCCAAAAGGAGGTCTTTGGGAAGGAAAAAGTGAGGAGAAAGTGAGAAGGGTTAAGGTAAAGACCTTATATTAACTTTTCCTTTATTTTTCTTCTATCATATGAGATATATATCATATGAAGACCCTTGAGAATGGTTCTACATGATTAAGTGTAGAATGATGGGTTGGAAAGTGGTTCTAGGTCCAAGAACGGATTTAGAAGTCAAAACGACCGGTTTACCGGAAAATAACCTTTAGAGGTTATTTGTATTGATTAAGGTTTTATGATGTTAAAACCTTGTTAGGGACTTGACTTAAGCATTTTTGAACCTCGCCGGAGTTTCGCCGGAGTTGGTCAAAGCACGCCGGAGTTGGTCAAAGCTTGCCGGAATTAGTCAAAGTTCAAATCGGGGAACGTAAAACGCGCTTAAGCTCACTTAAGGTGAGGATGACCGACTATATTGCTTATAATTATTGGGTTAATTTCATAAGATTACCTAAATGAATTATATGTGTTTGGCATGATTTATTTATAATAAAAAGATGCCTAAGTGAACATAAAAGATTATTATTGTTTATAAGTAAAAATGCATAATATACAAATTTATGAACAAATTGTGTATGATTGTGTGTTATGAATACAATGACATCATAGTTGTGTAAACTATAAACTAAATTGTGATAAATATACTTTTACCTCATGTAAGAAAGTCATGGAAGGATAAAAGTGATATTTTGATATTAGAGCCAAGTTATACTTGAATGAGGAATTTAATTGAAATATCCAAATTGTTATGAACTTAAGTTACATTTGGAGTAAGCCTTAGGGGTTACTCAAAATGAATGGAACCTAGACTAAGAAGTGGTTTAGGGATTAGTTGACGTGACTATGAGCCGAGCTCTAGCACGTGGTAGGGTGACTATGAGCCGAGCTCTAGCACAAATTAGTATGACTATGAGCCGAGCTCTAGCAAGCGTAGGGTGACTATGAGCCGAGCTCTAGCACAAATTAGTATGACTATGAGCCGAGCTCTAGCAAACGTAGGGTGACTATGAGCCGAGCTCTAGCACAAATTGATATGACTATGAGCCGAGCTCTAGCATGGAGGACAAGAGTTAATTATAAATGAATAACATCTTAGATTGAGGGTCTTGGAAATTGAAACTTTGATTATACTTAGTATAGTTGTCATTGTACTTGTCAAATGCTTCCAAGTACTGACCTCCCCTTCACGGGGGAGGCCACCTCACAGTTTCAGGTAGGGAGTAAAGCTTGCTGCCATCACCGTTGCTCGGGTAGGATCCAAGAAGAGGAGACGTGGTTCGTGCCTCTTCAGATTCCATTTTTCAAACACTTAAATTAATGCTCATGGATAATGTTTTTCTATTGAATATTTAATGGGGGCTTGTATGCCCTTGTTTGCCAAAGTGTGGCATGAACACTTGTACCAAATGTTCCCGCTGCTTTAAATGAATATTTTACATTATGTTTGTTTATGGATGTACTATGTGTGAACGATATTCCAGACGCCTTGTATAGTATGGATGTGTTGGACTGCGGTTGACTATTCGTACTGTACGGCGGGTTGTTGACGTGTCCGGTAGGTCCGGGGCGTGACAACAGGTGGAGGTAGTGGGGCCATTGCGACCTCCCCTGTCTTGGGGGTGTTGTTTTCCCCAGTCCTCACGACAAGGGCGCTGACGACGTTGGGATCCTTGAGGATGCTAGCAACGATGGCCGATAGGGCGGCCTTGTTGATCTGGGGGACAACAGGGGGAGAAGTCTGTTGCCCCAATGCAAGATCAGCAGCGCGTTTATCTTCGAGCCCGACGCAGGCGCCCTGAGCAGTCCTGTTGAGGTGGTTGGGGAGGTCGTCAGTTGGGTTATCGACCTCCCGGACGTTCCCTTCCTCGGCCGCGAAGTAGTTGTCAGCAACATCTCCGGCTTCTTCAAAGTTTTCCTGGGTCTGAGGGATGGTTTTGACGGTGGGGTTCTTTGACATAGCTCTTCCCATTTCTTGTTAGTTGCGCCTGGTAGCGAAGAAGGGTAAAAACATTTTAATCATTTTGCGAGCTTTCTGTGAGACATATTTTTTTATTCTCAAAAAATTTACTCTTATTTCGGGAATTTTGTGGTTTATCTGTAGTCCTTATTTCTTTCTCTTTCCCTGTCCCCTTCTGTTTTGTTGTAGACCCCACCCTTTCTATTTTGGCTTTGAATTCATCCGCATGTCACCAATTCGTCCGATGGTCTGCTAGAGAGGCTTTGCCAGATTCCAACTTGTTAATTAGACGTCCATATTCACAAACATTTGCTCAGGAGTTCAATGGCTTTGATCCACATTTTATTTTGTGCGAAAATGTTATGGACCTAGCCCATGCTAGGCACATACCATTAACATATGCCCAGATGTAGAACTCACTCCTAAAAGACCAGCTGATTAGGAGGAGGGAATATCTTGCTTATAAGCCACCTGTCAAGTCTACTTGACCGGTGTGGGATATACCGTAACAATACCCCACGCTTTGTAGAGCCAACGTCCTCGTTGGTCACGGCTATGTTGGTCACGGTTGGCACTCCCAGGGCCCAAGCCAGTGGCGGACCGAGCATGGGGGCAAATGGGGGCTGCTGTCCCCCCCAAATTTTTTTTTCTTAAGTATACTTACCCCGAAATTTTAATATATAAGTATTTGTATATATATTTTTACCTTGCCGCCCCTCCGAGCTAGAATTCCCGCGTCCGCCGCTGGTCCAAGCCAACCACTCCATAGGCCACCACTCGAGTGTCAGCGGGAGTCAGGACTAGGAAGATCGGGACGGCTCTGATACCAATTGGTAAATCCCTGGACTAAATTGCTTGAGTAGCAGAAGAAAGAATCATCAAGACAAAGGAAGAAAGAGTGAGCAGTAGAAGAAGAAGAAAGACAAAGGAAGAAAGAGTGAGCAGAAGAAGAATACAGTAATTCAATAATGAAAGAAATGCACTGCTGCGTGCTTAGTGGGTGCTATCCACAAACCATCCTAACTGCCATTGTCTCCCACTAAACAAGGGCCACAAGGCATTAATAAAGAAATCAGAATAATGGAAATTAAAAGTAAAGCTACTGCTGGTTTTCTCCCTCTTGGGCCATCCGAACTGATGCTTTGTTGATGACAGTGTATTGAAATAACGTGGGTTGGGCTGCCTGGTACGCCCAACGGGCTTATCAGAAGAGTGATGCTAATTTGTAGCAAAGTCAGACGTAGTAATTGCGTATGTGAGTGCGTAAGAATGTTTTTCTTCTACTTTAATTCAATGGCGTGAGTGAATACGTATATTGAATTAGCTGGAAAGGTGATAGCGCCTTTAATCCTTGGTCAACAAGCTTGGACATGTATGTATAAAAGGCAGATCAGATACGCCGGCCAAGAACATAATAAGTACGTAATAAATTAAAACGAGGATCTATAGGCAGAAAGGTTTGGAAGCTGAATCGAAGGTGCAGCACAGCCGGGTGAGATCAGATATGATGATGGAAGGGAATAAGGAATGGCAGCGCCGCAATCAGGGCCGAACCTATAGCAGATTGCTTCTTTTGTTTGCGGCCGCGTGTGCTGTTAGGACGGTGGCCGGTCAGAGTCTGGACGACCTTGAAAACAAAGTAATGCTGGAGCTCAACGGCAGCCTTACGTTCCCTAATAACTCACCATGGGCTAGTTCTGATCCCTGCAACTGGGGCGGTGTGATGTGTGTCCGTACACCGGACCGGGCTACGTTCTTCGTTTTCATGATCCTGATTTCGGGTATGGATATCAGCGGGAGTCTGCCGGGGAGACCTCACCGACTTGTCCATGTTTGACGCGAGCAACAACCGCCTCACCGGCCCACTTCCGGACTTTGCAGGGTGCTCAAAGCTCGAGAGGCTCAACGTTTCCCGCAACCTGTTCACTTCGATCCCGCCAACTCTGTTTTCCAACAAGAATACGCTCCGGGTGGTTGATCTAGACTACAACATTTTGCTTCAGCCCTGGAACATTCCTAATGATCTGAGCTCTGCTTCACGCACCTTAATTAGCTTCACCGCCAACAATTGCAACATTCACGGGGACTTCCCCAGCTTCTTCAACAACGACATCTCCCCCATCTTAACGCACCTCCAAATGGCCAACAACCATCTGTCCGGGGAGCTCCCTCCCACCCTGCCCCAGTATCTGGAGACTCTGTGGCTGAGTAACCAAACGGGGACCGACGACTCAGGTTTGTCCGGCACCATCTCCGGTATATATAACTTGACCTACATTACACAACTCTACCTGCACGGGAACAAATTTTCCGGCCAACTACCCGATGTGTTACTCCTCCAGTCATTGACGGAATTCATCCTCAGTGATAACAGTTTTACCGGTCCGGTGCCGAATTCATTGGCAGGGATCCCTTCACTCACAGAAGTGGGTCTGTCCAACAATAATCTGAGTGGCTATGTCCCTCTTTTTCATCCCCATGTGAAAGTGATTACGTGCGGGAATCCAGGTTTGGAGGAACGAAAAGGGCTTCCATGCTAGCTACCTACTAGTGATATGGTCGAAGCTGGGCATGCAGAATGGCAACGATCGATCAAGATCATGAGAATGTTTGTGAGTTTTCATTTGAATTTTGAAGGTTTCTTGTTTGTGCGGGCTTATTTAATTTTAGAACCTCATGATGGTCGGTGATGTGTCTCTCTGTTGTTTTCAATTAAACTGTACGTATTGATCGAGTAACCATGTGCTTGCTATTGTGTATTTGTGTTTTTCACATTATCTTCAAGCTGTCATTTGTGATTTGTGGATTCAAATCCTCCATATATAAAAAGCGTGCAAGGACTAAGGATGCCCGTTTGGTTCTACTTCTGTTACTACCTCCGTTTGGTAGGCATGATTTCGCTCCTCACTCGAGATATCTCAACATCTCTACGTAGCTATTCTCATTTTACACCAAAAGTTCACAACATAGAGTTCCCTTCTGATCTCTCGTACATTGAAATTATGAAAAATGTGGGCCCGTTATAAAAAATGATGACATGATTATAAATTATGATAATAGCATAGCGATGGAGAAAATGAATGATAGCACGATCCAGCCGAAGTGTCTGATCGTGGGGAGGAGTGTTGAATTCCCACACAGAAATTCTGTGAATAAATCTAGATTACTCCTTCTATCAAGTTGATCATGTAGGATGAAACCTCATATTTTAACATGATGTCTTCCTCATATATATATATATATACACACAAATATTCCGGTCAAGAAATTCCTGACCGGAGCCCCGTCTGGCCTCCTCCATTTGGGGCCTTCCCAGTGGTATTTTTTGCTCAACTTTTTTTGTATGTTCCTCATGAAGTCTAGTTGATCCATACCAAATTTCAGCCAAAAAATCAATCGGGAAGGTCGTCAAAGATGTGGAACATTGATAAAGATCATTTCGGGAGTATGGAAAATATTGGAATACTATAAATTGTCATTTTGTCACTTGATGAGCTTTAATTGAAACTAGTCTTCTTAAAAGACTTAGATGTAAATGTAAATAGAGAACCAAAAATATTATTTGAATTTAAATCAAAATATCATTACATTAGTTTTTTTAGCCAAATCTCTGAAATTTTGTTATATTTGTTAATTTTTGGTACTATTATTATTTTATTTGTGAACCTCTGAACTATATATATTTGCAAATTATACCCTATATTTTTATTATTTATAAATATACCCTCGTACCCGTATCTTATAATTTTCGACATTGCCGATCACCATACCCGTATTCGCGTATCCGTATCCGTGCAACATAGACACCCTCTCCCCCTCCATTCTCTCTTTGTTGCTCCCTTATCTGCTTTCTTATCTAATAATTCATCTCTCACGTGTTTAGACTTGCATATTTCTTCCACATTTTCTCCACCTGTGGCTACTTACAAATGGTTGGACTGAATTTTCGCCATCTCCGGCGACCGCCGGTGGGCAGCGGCGATGATCTTAGTAAGTATTGTTCTTCTTCTTTCCTCTTCTTCTCCTCTTCCTATTCATCCAATTCCTTTTTTGTTCTTCCCAGATTAATTAAGCACACAAACTCCTTTTTGAACTTTGAACAAAAACCACATATTTGGTTAATTTATTGACTTTACTCCTTCAATTTCTTCCTCCTATTGTATTTACGAGATTTTAAGTATACATCGAGTATACGTCAAAGCACCAATGTACAGCGACGATTTAACTCAGTTGTACACCATGTCTACTTCTTGCATAGGTAATGATAGTTTCTAGTTAGTGTTTTGCTGAACTCCTTGATCCTAATGGTCTGTTTGGATTGAGTGTTGAGGAGTGTTAGTAATTTAAGTGTTAGTAAGTGTTGATGCTAACACTTGTTTGGGAGAAAATCCAGAGGTGTTAAGAAGTGTTAGTAATGGTTAGGAAGTGTTAATAATAATCTTCCCAACACCTCAATTGTCCATTTTTTTAACACCCCGATTTGGAGTGTTTTGAGGTGTTGGACAATTATTACCCTTCTCATTTACCTGAAAAACATAAAATGCTTCGACATTTCACTTCGAATATCTTTCCAACGAGTCTGATGGTCTGCTTTTTTCATCTCTTCTCTTTACTCGTTTCTTTTGCCTCAAGGTAAAATTATTAACACTTCCATTATTAACACTTCATTCATTTGACTCTCCCAAACAAGGTAAAATTATGTCTAACACTTACAGTTCTCTTCCCTTCCGGGCCCTTACTAACACTTACTAACACTTTCATTACTAACAGTTCCAAACACTCCATCCAAACAGGCCCTAAGAATAACCCCGAAAATCCCAAATGCATTGAGTCGATGTCAGGTTGTTCCAAACTCTCAAAGAAAGGGATTGTTCATTCTTTTACCATTCACCACCATGTTCACGAGTCCTTCTGATCAGTAGCTAGTTTATTAGTGTATGATGTCACTACTTTGAGGATGTTGTGATTAATTTTAGCCAGAGTACAAAGATGTAGTTTAGAGAAGAATTTTCTTGGTTTAGACTGTCTTTTCTGTGAGTATCCCTTTTACTACTTGTGCATGCTAATAATTTTAATGTCGTGTGGTGACTATCGTAAGTCCCGTAGTTCAGTTTGCTTGAGGACAAGCAATGGCGGGATAGAAGGGAGGACGGACGGGAGAAATTATAAGATGACGATCGAATGTGGAAATGAGAGGACGGGAGAAAAATAGAGTTTATAAATTAATTATTTGATGATTTGGACTGCAACTATATAATACAAACAGATAGTTTGGCTAAATCAACTATTTTAACGTTCTAACAGAGCAAATATACTTGATTGAAGTGCAAGTTTTTCAAGTGTAGATGGGGTACTAATTACTCCCTTCGAAACAACTCCATGTACCACCATTTTCTCTATTCCTAATTGTTAATTAGACATAATCACTAACATTTTCTTGGAAATGGTTTTCAATCCAGATCGACACTTTAATTATGCTGTGTGAAGAGGGGTAATGGCCGGTAATTTGAAGCAACGTCATAATTACGTATGTGAGTGCGTAGGAATGTCTTCCTTCTGCTTTAATTCAATGGCGTGAGTGCATACGTATATTGAATTGGCTGGAAAGGCGATAGCGCCATTCTTTGGTCAATAAGCTTGGACTTGTATGTATAAAAGCTAGCACGCTGCAAACTACGAGTAATAAATTAAAACATGGATCTGTGCTGATCGATCGGCAGAAAGGTTTGGAAGCTGAATTGAAGGTGCAGCGCAGCCGGCTGAGATCAGCAGATATGATGATAGAAGGGAAGAAATGGCAGCGCCGCAATGTGGGGCATTTCTTGTCCGGTCAAGTGGTCACGGCGGCCGCCGGCAGCTTGCTGCTTCTTTTGTTTGCCGCCGCCTTTGCTGTTAGGACGGAGGGTCTGGATCAGACCGACCTTGAGTCCATTGAATACAATGTAATGATGGAGCTGAAGAGTAGTCTTACGTTCCCGGCCGGAGTAGAGTCCCAATGGAATAATTGGACTGATCCCGATCCGTGCAACTGGTCCGGTGTGTTGTGTTCGGCTAGACCGGACCTGAATAATTACTCTTTTGTCTTCGTTATCAATATTGGGGGTTTGGGTATCAGTGGGACTCTGCCGGGAAGCCTGGGAAACCTCACCGGGTTGTTCAGGTTCTATGCCGCCGGCAACCGCCTCACAGGGTCACTTCCGGACTTTTCCGGGTGCTCAAATCTCGGCGTGCTCAATGTTGCCCGCAATCTGTTCACTTCAATCCCGCCAACTCTGTTCCACGACAAGACTGAACTCCAATGGCTTCGTCTAGATCACAACATTTTGCTTCAGCCCTGGAAAATTCCTGAAGATCTGAGCTCCTCTTCACAACTTGTCATTTTCACCGCCGCCGATTGCAACATTTATGGGGACTTCCCCAGCTTCTTTAACGACCAAACTTTCCCCAACTTAAAGAACCTCCAATTGGGGAACAACCATTTGTCAGGGAACCTCCCTCCCACCTTGCCCCAATATTTGGAGACTCTGTTGTTGAGTAACCAAACCGGGACGGCCGACTCAGGTTTGTACGGCAGCATCTCCGCCATACAGAACCTGACCCGGCTTACCAAACTCTACCTGCAGAGGAACAATTTTTCCGGCGAAATACCCGATGTGTCCCGCCTCCAGTCATTGACAGAATTCATCCTCAGTCAAAACAGTCTTACTGGTCCAATGCCAAAGTCATTGGCAGGAATCTCTTCACTAAAAGTAGTGAGTCTGTTCAACAATAACCTGAATGGCACCGTCCCTCATTTTAATGACACTGTCATAGTGATTACATGTGGGAATCCAGGTTTAGCTGACCAAAAAGGGCTTCCATGCTAGCTACTACATGTGGGAATCCAGGTTCACCGCAAGCCTGCAGCAGATGTCACTATGGCGGGTCTTGTAACTATAAGATAAAGTCACTATAAGGGGATGTTTACTTTTTTTCCCATTAAGTCCTGTCTGGATTAAGTGACATTGTGATATCAAGCTGTTTACTATGTGTGCTGAATGTGTAGTCTGAATTATATTAAATGACCAATTTACCATGTACTGCATTATGTTTAGTTTTGCTATTCTCAATGTTCTGGTTGCGTATGTATAAGTAATCTGATGTGTGTGAACAAAGTATGAATTTTAACTTCTTTGTGTTTGCAATTCCCAAAGGCACAAATTACAGTCTTTGAACTCTCTGTTTGCAATTCGTATTTGCTCTCCATCTACAATTATTCTTCATTTGTAAATCTAATCCCTAAGCAAGTAAACTTTTTGCTTTGAGAAAACCTTGAGCCACTATATTTTAATTTCAAAATCAAAATGTAAGGTATCTCCGTATCTGATGCATCGTGGTCTTCAATGGCTTAGCTAAAAAATCGATTGTAGCTAGTTTCACAATTCTAAAGTAAGGTGCCGACATATACAAAGCAATTTTATGAGAAAATCGAAAGTAGATTATTCAGGAAGAGAATAATTAGATCGGGAACAAGGAGAAGAGATGCAATTTAAAAAGAATAAAATATAAAACAATTATAAATCAAGAGAAAACACCAAGATGAGAAGAAGGTAGGGAATGAGATCCACTTCGCTTCTTTCGTGATGGCTCCATCACTCCATGGGCAGTCCGATGGGGGTAGTTCACAGGGCTGTCCAGCGAATGGTGATGCGTGCGATGAAATAAAAGAACGGAGAAGCGGGGTTAAAAAAGAGACTCCCCTCACACCTATAGGCAGTGTTCTAAAAGGCTTGAAAAAGCGCCGCCTAGGCGGGCCTAAGCGCAGGGCGTGATCCAAACGCCCCGCTTCACCTAAATGCGTGATCAAAGGCGAGCGGCCCACAAGAGCGGCCCAAAAAATTGACTAGCAAGCCCCTAGGCAGCCGTCCAAAACAACGAAGACTACCGCCTATCAAACAATAAGAGAAGAGCTCTTATTTATAGCAATGTTGGAATGTCAGATGTTAACTACATCCGGTGTGGGAAATGAATTAGTACTTGGCCGTGCAGTAGACTTGGAACAATAGGATGTTACAATCACAATTACTAATCAAACTTGCTCAAATTGTACAAATTACAATCTAGTCTTTTAATCATCAACATTATTATTGTTACATTATTATTATTAGATAGAAATTTTTACTTATTAATAACTAATATAAAAAATGTTTAACGGAAGGAAAAATTAATTAAAGTGTCCCAAACTTTGAAAGGGTGTGAGATGACATCCCAAACTTGCATATGTAATTTAAATATCCCAAAATTTATATAACAAATTATTTTTGCACCATAATTAAGTATTTTTAAAGACAAAAGTGTAGCAAACTTTCAAATACATCCCAAGAAAGAAAGTGTGGCAGACTTCTTAAATACGGATGAATGATAATGTTTGAAGTATTTAACTTACATATGTACTTTAAATATCCCAAAATTTATATAAAAAATTATTTTTGCACCATAATTAAGTATTTTTAAAGACAAAAGTGTAGCAAACTTTCAAATACATCCCAAGAAAGAAAGTGTGGCAAACTTCTTAAATACGGATGAATGATAATGTTTGAAGTATTTAACTTACATATGCAAGTTTGGAGTGTTTATCTCACACCCCTTCAAAGTTTGTGGTATTTTTATTATTTTTTCTCATGAATTTAAGTGTAGTAACTTTAGTCGTAGTAACTTATATTCAATTTTTACATTTAAGTGACATGACATAATAATAAAATAACATGTAGTCATATTTTTATAAATCAGTTTTACTTAAGTAATATTTTTTTAAAAAAAACTCTTTATCATCATCATTATTATTATTTTAAACCTCTTACTTCAATTATTTTATTATTCACCTAGTTTTTCAGCCTTCGTGGCTATATCAATGTTTCACTATGTCTCTTTTTTTATACTCCATCTGTCCCGAAAAGGTTTGCCAAATTTCCTTTTTTGGATGTCCCAAAAAGATTTGTCATTTTCATTTAAATTAAAAAAATATGTGGCTAAAGTTAATTCTCTCTTTTCTGCACAAATTTCAACCACACAATTTTTACTTTAATAATCCACGTGAAAGTCAAAGTTGACGAACCTTTTCAGGACAGAGGGAGTATATAAATTTATAAATTGTAAAACTTTAGTATTTTTTTGTAGGAAAATTAAAATATGATATTTTTGTATGATATTATCACACATCACATTTATATAAATACTGATATCTCTAGAAAATTAAATAAAAGAGTAAAAATTACACACGCCTTTTCTCGCCTAATTCCCGCCTAAGCCCGCCTAGGCTCCAAAGGCTTAAGGCTTGGACGTGCCGCCTCGGCACGCCTTACGCCTTTTAGAACATTGCCTATAGGTCTGAATCGGAAGCAGTGCCAAAACTGAGCTGACCGAATAAGTCATGAAATGTCTGTGCGAATAAGTCACTGTCTTTAAAAAGTCCTAAGTAAACATCACCATATAGCTGAATGATTAATTCACACTATCCATTAAGCTCATTAAGTCACAAGTAAATAGGCCCTAAATTAGGGATAATTTAGTAAGTTTAAAACTTATTAGTCGCTTTTCTGGAAATTAAATTTAAAGAAGAGTTCACTTTTTTGTCAATCACCTACTTTTTAGTAATATTAAAGTGAAAACCCCTTCTATATTTTATTTATTAATGTACTAGTATAGTACTCGTGCATACACACAACAAAGAGCAGTTGGTGCATATATTTTTACTCATGATATAATTAAATATTAAAATAAAAACAACTTATTAGGATTCTACAATTTTGAAAAATAAGAGTTCAATAGGTTAATACCATAAAGTATAAGACCATACAATATATATTCAATGAATAGCATATTAGGAAAAATTAATTTACACCACTCATTAGAATTTACTACTTATTAATTTTTATGATTAGACTTGATACTTTTTATGCTAATTTATCATTAGAATTAATTTAGCCGAATACTTAATTAATCCAACTAAGTCTTCTCCCGCCTAACTCTTAGGGTATTTATGTAAATTCATTCCCAATTAGGTATCGCTTCCTCGATCAGCCCTTACTCTCACGCTTGCTCCCTCCTGCGTTTCCTCCTCAACTTATTGTCTAGAGTTTCAGAAGTTACTGGCTCTCTCACAACATCATCCTCCTACATAGCTCTTTGTTCCCGAATGTTTCAGAAGGTTTTGGTTCATTCAAAGCATCCTAGCCTCCTACATGTGAGCCACAACTCTCCTTATTATTCGAAAGTACTGCATCATATTTATCAAAATTACTCTCGCCACAACAACTCTCTTACACATCTCTACGAAATAACCTAAAGTTTGATTTGCGCCATTACAGTTTCTACTCAACGACCATATATGGTCGAGATGTTCTCATAAGGAGATACACATATTATATTCCGTTTGCAGTAATTTATTCTACCATTATTGTAAATGATTAGTTCCTTATTTACTACTACGTATATTCCTTTCTTTAATTTTTTGGCTTAGGGTGATCTCTCTTTCCCTTAAAATGGAAATTAATGATAGAAGCTGGTCATTCTTTAATATTTTTGCTTAGCGTGATCTACTTATGCTTTCGTTTGAATATTTTTGTCTGAAAGTGATATTTTGTAGTAATTTAAGTAGGAGCAGTTTGATTCGCTTAGGGTACACATAATATTAAATTCTCAATTGTGGTGTTTAGTTGTTTACACGTAAATTAACTGAACTTGTCATGTTGAAAGTTTAGCTATCTGCAGATTGTGTTGTTGATCCTAATCGTAAGCACATCATTCAGCATTCATTGTAATTACTATCCGGTATATGTATATGTATTAGATACCTCTGGCAAGTGGGGAAAGTTGATGATTTGTTAATGATTCTACCCTTTTTTCTGCAAAGTTACTAAATTCTAGAAAATTTGTCCCGTGTCACAAACATGTGGAACTTTTCATTCTGAGTTACTGTTGAAAATTTGGTCAAAATTTTAGGATGAAGTGAGGGTTGGAATGGGGGAAAATATAGCGATAACACTGTGCCTAGCATTGGTGTCTACGTTAGTTTTGCTAACAAAGAATCTGGTCAGTCTTTAATCATCTACTTATGCTTTTCGTTGATTATTTTTTGCTAGCAGTGATACTTTGTAAGTTTGTAGTAATTTGCTAAGGAGCAACTCAAGGAAGCATGAACCATTGAACCGGTGATCGAGATGTTTAAATTACTTGACTTCTCCTCATGTTGTCATTTGGAGTGTAAATCATTACATTGTGAGTCAAGCAAATCCTCATATTTTGCCTTTACTAAGGGCGAAGGAGTTTGCTAGAGATGACGGAGGGAGTTTTGCAGCCAAGGTAGTACGAGTACCATATTGTACATTATTATGTACTTTTCTTGGATGTGTTTTCGTGTGAAAACTGAAAACTGCTTATTCATTCATTGTTTTACCTACACTGGGTTGACAAAATCAATTATATTTTTTAAAAATGGGCATAATACCAACCATCCCAGTAAACCAACAATAATGCATATTTTCAAAATCACTTTAAGCAATACCAACCAAATGTATAACAAAATTATACCGAGTGATTTTTGAACGACAAATCAAGTCATTTAATCCATCAAAAAATCACAATAAGCTATGTTATATTCTCAAAATATGACTTACTTGATTCTATTACGAGCATAAAACTTCCCCAATTAGGAGTGAATGAGTCATGTTTTATGAATAAAATAATAGTGGTCTTAATTATTGACTTCGTCTATGTTTTACTTCGACATCAAAACATACCTACATCAAAACCCATTTACTTCGATTTGTGCATTTTGTCTATGTTTTACTCCTATTTGAAACAATTTCTTTTTCAATACACTTTATATGATTGTCTGGTATCAATTTTGATGGGTTATATAACTGGATATTTAGTAGATAATTTAGCGTATAATTTCTGTTATGTAATCAAATACTACATCCGTCCCATTTATATTGGGACGGAAGAGGGTGACACAGTTATTAAGAAAAGTGGGTTTGTGTGGTTGATATTAATTGATAAAGTAAGAATGATTTAGACCCACACAAACTTTGCCAAATATGGTATGAGACAATTTAAGTGGGACTTCCAGAAAAATGTAAAATGGGGCAATATAAATGGAACGGAGGGAGTAGTTGGTAAAGCTTAAAGTGATTTCTTAAAGTATATAGGGTT